TGTCGGTAGAGTTTGTCTGCTCTGGGCCTAGAACGATGGGCAACGAAAACGGGCTGTTTGCAAAGGCTGTACGAACGAGCCTTCCACAAAGAAGTTCTTCTGCGGAGCTTCTGCGTCCTTCGCGTCCTTGTTTTCGGAAGGCGTGCGCTTAGTCATAGCGCCCGCCCCTCATGTTCCTGTTCCGTGGAAAGAATGTATGGCGAATGCAGCGCGGATCCAAGAAAGCGCGAAAGCAGTCACCATCGTTTGGCCAACAGAGGTGCGGCGTGAGAACTCTTGAAATTTGGCACAGCTGAGGCCCTGCGTCATTCAATGCTAATACGGGCGGGACGGCGCTGCGTAAGAAAAGTCGCCAGGGCAAGCATGACCTGAAACGCTAATCCTCCACGGCTACCATGACCTGAAACGCTGATCCTCTAAGCATTGATCACGACAATCAGCAAGACCAAGCGTCAGTTAACCACTGCCGGAGTCGACAACCTTCATCTGACAACCCGCTTCTTCGCACCTCTGGCACAGCTGTTGGCGACAGCTTCCCAGAAGCGTCGGCCTCGCCAGTCACTCGAGCCTCTGCATTGACTGAGTTAGCTCCCCCAGCCTCATTGGGCATCACCGCAACGGGTCTCACAACATCACCTGAAAGTTCAGGTTCAGCCCTGCAGCCTGATTTGAACCATCCTGATCGCTGCCTTTGGCAGATCCGCTGTCTTGGGTCAGCAGTGTCGAGGCCACTGTTGAGGACAGCGAAGCAGGGCCACGCATGGACCCTGCCAAGCCTCTATGCAAGATGAAGCAAGGCCATGAAGTGGAAGCAAATATGCCTGTCCTGTTGCACTACATGTGACGGGCTCGCTGTAGTCCGACACCTGCGCTGGCCCAAACGAAGACCTGGAGCCGGATGCAGGATTTCTGTGTCGCTCAGCTCTGCTGACCTCGCCGAGTTCGCAACTGCAATCGGCTCCGAATGCTGAAAGAATAGGAGCGGCCCGGAGCACAGCCCTCAACGATGAAGGACTGCTCCTGCTTAGCACAATCAGGAAAGCACAGAAGAAGTCACAAAATGCCAGGCTGCATCTGAATGCTGCATGCTAGCTCCAAGGCTCCTGCACCACGCCGTCATTAAACGTCAGCCTTGCTTCACAAATGTGCTCCCGAATCCTCACGTGTCCTGACAATTCACCGTCAATCGCGATCAGCCAGCACGGTTCTTCTTGCCAGTGGTTCAAGGATGTTCTCATTCTAATGTCAGTGCGGTGTCTGTTACAACATGATTGCAATCTCCTGCACTCGTTCACTTTGTTCAGTCTTTCAGCCCGCGTCAAATAAGTTCGCTCAAACAGGATGTGCCTCCCATCGTCTCAGACTTCTGGTTTATCTCGAAGCTCAGCGTGTGAGGTGAGCCACTTTGTGACAGCTGTTCGAGCAGGTCCTACAACAAAGATTGTCTACTTCAATGCGTTGCAAAAACTTGGAATGACCTCGTCAAAAAACCACGTCAGCTTGATGCTCCCGTCGTGCTGTGCCCTTGCCATCACTTCCTCGGGTACGCTGACGTCCGGGATGATGGCCTACCAGCTGAGATTCTGCGTTGTGCCACCGGCAGACGCACAGCTCATGCCTTCGGGACCGCAGGCGATGCAGGCGCAAGCGGTGCTTGCAGTGCCTGCGGTGAACAGCTCTCTTCCTTGCTGGCCAGGGTGTCGCAATCGGGTATGACCTTTCATACGCGCGCAGATACAATGGCACCCCGTGCGGCATATCAACAAGATTCCAACTGATAGATTTAGGCCCGCACACTGCTGCCATCAAGGCTGCCTAGCATGGCTGCGCTTGGCGAAGCCTCCACTGCCACACTGACTCCGTGAAGCACTGACACACAAGGCATCATCTCCTCTCCTTGGATTCCTCCTCTACCACAGGGCCACCTGCTGACACAGGACTTTGCTTCAAGCAGGTCTAGACACACGGCCAAGCCTACGCCAGCAGCAGCATCACCGCTACAAGGCAGCTGTGAAGGGCTGGATGGCGACTCCGAAAATGATGGCAAGGTTTCTTTCAATGCTTGTGCTGGGCTGCCGGTGCAAACCTGCGAGGGCTGCAGATTGGAAGTACCAGCAGCCTCTTCGGCCTCTTCTAGGGCTGGCCTGATGGGAAGGACAGGGCTTCCGGTGGCCCAGCTGCCAGGATCCATTCGCTCTGGCTCTGCCATTGCAGGTGCTTCTGGCTGCGGGCTTGGCACCTCCGGTTCCATCCCTTCCAGCCCTGCAACCTTTGGCTTCTCAAGCAGCTCAGGCGACTTTGTCTGCTGATGGTCAGGTTGTGTTCCCAGCGCATTGCCTAGTACAGGCTGGTCCTGCACAGGAGCCTGCGAGGGCATCAAATGTGAAAAGGAGGTCGATGAAGCCAGAAGTCCAGCAGAGGTTGCTGCGACACCGTTTTGAGCCCCTGGCGATGCATGTTGGGGAGTTTGGCCATCTTGGCCATATGGGTTGTCATCCAGGACCTTTGCCGTAGAAGGAAGCAGAGCCCCATCGTGCTTCTCGACTTGGCCAACCTGAATCTGACCTGCAGGCTGAGAAGCAAGAAGCCTATCCACAGCGCTGGTCACGGGCGGCATTGATTGCGCAGGAAGCGTGGCGAGAAGCTTGTTGGCACAGGGCGCAGAAGGCGCAAGAGGCGCAAGAGGCGCAGGAGGCACCAGAGGTGCGGGCTCACTGGGCTGATGCAAGGCCTCCCTCACAGGCCTTGCGGCACAACCATGCGCCTGCATGGCATCAGCAACCGGCAGTGATGGCGACGTAGACGCACCGGAATTTGGACGAGGCGAGGCCCGCAATGGCGCTACGCCAGGATGCGGCGCACATGTCCCGAGGGCCGCTGCAGGTGCTTTTGCCGGAGCTGGCTGTGGTGGCAGAGCAACTACGGGTCCCTCAACTTCTTTGGCCGGCAGGCTGAGAGGTCCTGGCAGCTTGCGGCTAAGCGCAACCGCTGGTAGCAAAATCTTTCTCTGCTGGTCCTGAGGCAGCTTCTAGGACGCCTTCCAGTGCGTTCTTGCGCTTGCGAAGGGCGTCCCGCTCTTTGAGAAGCCTGCCTCACACGAGAGCCAGCCCAGTAGACGTCAAACGGCTCAGGCTTGCCAGCTATGTTGGGATCATGGAAAAGAAAATGGAAACCCCCAATAATGGAGAATCAAATGGAAAAGAACTGGGAAATGAATTGGAAACTGGGATTATAGGGTTTATACAGCATCTTCAAATGTCTTCAACGAATGTGCAATATCTCAAAAGCATGTGCAGTCGCATGGGCAACTTCCCATCCGTTTCCCCGTGCCTTGCTCTTTGACCACCTCCGCCAGAATTTGCCTCAGGTAAGGAGAGCTCAAGAGCAACTACCAATTGCACGTGGCTGCACTACGGCTTCTTGACATTGCAGCAAGGCCCACTGCAGCTTTTGATTGCCAGCCATGCGACTTCTTGGTTTCGCAGCTTTGGGTCAGAGACTCACAGTACTTCACGAGCCTAAGCGCCAAAAGATGAAGGCTCTTCAGCAGCTCAGAGCCGCATCTACTCGAATAGGAAATAGGTGCAGCCAGCATGCTGCGGTGTGGAGAGCGGAGACGCAGTACTTGGATTTGATGCCTGCTACATGCTGATTCGGAGGACAATGAACCAGCAAATACATCAAGCTGCAAATGCTCTGGTAGTCCCGCACCTTGGTCGGAAGTGGCGCCGTCCTTTCCTTCTGGAGCCTTTGCAAAGCCCGTTTGCTATCAGCACAAAATGATAGGGGGCCTGAAGAGCAACCAGCAGTTGCAAAGGGCGCTTGCGTCATTTTCGTGTGGACACGATGTTCAGCTACTCTTGCGCTCTCCTTGGGACTGGACTGCGCAGTTTCCAGCCTCCTTCCGTCTGCTGGTGGCATGAAGTGGCCTTCTGGGTGGAAACATGCTCTCAAAAGAACGAGAATTCCGATGCTTGACGTGCAGCTTCATTTTAAGGAATTCTTGATGTTAACTCTCTCCCCGAGCGCCTACTTTTGGTGTGGCCATTTGCACAGCAATTGGCCTGGCGGGATGAGAGCGTGGCTCCAGCAATTGATGCAGCAATGCATTGGAGAGCCTGCCTGGCTACTTGCTGCATGAGCTGCGGTCTCATAGTGTGTGCATGTGACCCTTGGGCCACCGGTAGCCTCAAGCACAAAGAAAACATGCTGCAGTCTGTCAGCTGGTCTAGCACATTGCTTGAACCAGGCCACGACATGTGAGGGGGCAAGGCTTGAATCCTCTGCTGTGGTGCTGTGACTGGCTGCTGTGCTCTTTGGCACTGGGCCATCACAGGACGATCCAGAGGTTGAACAGTCCTGTTCCAAGGCGAAATTCTTGCGTGCATCATTGGCATGCTGGAGGCATGGAAACCCACCACCTCGGCTGTGCAACTGCAGTGTGCCCCGTGGGCGGCGCGCCCACATACGCCTCTCGCAATGCCATTCTACACCATCTTTCTGCTGCAAAGTCCGGCCTTTGCCGCTGCCCGCCACTGGATCTGAGGCGCCATTGCCATGGCTCCAGCGCTTTCCAGCGAGGTCTTACTTTGATCTTCTCCTTGCGTGCCGTCTGTGTCGTCTATGCCTTTTTGCAGACTGCCATAATGCGTTTGTCAACCTCTGCTCAGGGCTAGGGCTTGAGATTCAGCGTACAGTGAATGAGAATTATTTATGTATGTGCTTCTTCTTCTTCTGGAATTATCTGGCCAAGACTTGCGAAGCAAGCTGCGGAGAGACATCTGAGCACCTGAAGACTTCACCACGCATCTAGATGACAGAGATACGGTGGCAGGAATGAACCTGCTGCCCTTTTGTGTTTACAGGCCCAGGCAGCGAGCCCCAGCAACAATCACACTCAGACCAAAGCTCCTTGTAGTTGTAAGTTGGACGTAGCAGCTAATGTCGCGTAGGAACCCAAGCTGGGTGAGGCGAGGCTGAAACAAGTCTGCCAAGGGAACCCGTGCATCAGCGAGTTGTCCAGCTCCTGTGGGCCAGATGATGAAGATGGTCCCTTTAATAGAGTAGTTTCCATCCTTTCCATTATCCCGATATAACCCCAATATACTATAGTAGTCTCCATGTTCTTTCCATTATCCTTATGTAACCCCAAAATATACCCTAATACAACCCCAATATGACCCCAATATAACCCTAATATTGACCATATGCACGCTACTATGATGTAGTAGTGTCCAGTTGATTTTCCATTGTCCCTAAACCCTAACCCCTAACCTTTCTATAACCCCATTATGATAGCATCCATTGTATTTTCCATTATCACAGACCAAAGGCCAGCCTCCCCAAAGGAAACAAACGCCGACATAGCCATCGCGGCTACGCGGTCCACCTTCACATACGGAGCTTCCACTACATTATATTAAGGCATATATTAGGGCTATGTTGGGGTTATATTAGGGTTATATTGGGGTTATTGGGGTGTATATTGGGGCTATGTTGGGATGATGGAAAAGGAAATGGAAACTACTACACTATACGAAGCTTACATCAGAATAGACTGCATCTGTTAAGTCACGGCCTGATCATCCATCTTTCTGGTCAGCACCGGCATGACTTGCTGGTGAGATTTCTCCTGCCAATTTCTACTCGTCGACATGTACTTGCTATCTTGGATGCTAGCTACTTCTGCTCTGGGGTTCCTAGAGTTCTGGTGAGGGTGCAAGGGTGTTTGCTGCAAGTCATTTCTTGAAGCATCAGAAATCTTACGATCATCACACAACAAGAAATGATCCTGTTTGACATGTCGCTTGCACAATGTAGGAATAGCAGCAATGGTCCCAATGCTGCTGACACATTCAAATGACGATGACATAACAAATACAATGGTCATTGCCATGCAAGGTCTCTAAGATTTACCACATGGCTTCATTTGGGTACAAATATGATGTGTCGATTTGGCTTAAGCATGCTGGTGAAAGCACAGAATCCTGAAAGTGGGGCGACTGGTCGTTGGCAAGCTGACCTGACTTGTGACGCATGGGACAGAACATTCAACTGCTCAAGCCTTGGTGTAGACACGTGCGTCAATGTCTTCTGACATCGCTTGCTGGGCTTTTCACCGAGACCATGAAGAGCAGTGAAGCGCACCCTGATTTTAGGCATGTCAGCAACTGAAATACACGCTTACATGCCCACACTGCAGCGTTGTCCGCAGATTGGAACAGCATCTGAGATGCCTGGGATGCGGATGGTCAACATGTCCCAGCAAGAGCTTTGCCATTTCATCCACATGCTCTTCCTGCAAAATGAGATATGTGTGAGATGTGTACGCACAAGCGGAAATTGTGCACAGCGAAACCAGCACCCCGAACCCCGCCAGCTTGCCTCTACATACTCGACTGTCTGCTTCACAGCTGCAAGCGCCGCGTGCTTCGCTTGCCAGGATTCCTGCGGTGCAAGTTGAAGACCCAATGGGAAGATTGCAAGAGCCATGCACCTGCAGTTACGAGCCTGTGCGGCAAAATGGGCAATCAACCGGAACAAGCCGGGCCCAATAGCCTCCATTGTGGCTGCCTGGAGCACAACGACAACAACTGTGCCGCGGCAATCAATCACAGCGAATTAGGCACGGCCACGAATCTGTGTTTTTCCTGATGCTCCTCTCCTCGGGTCCAGACATGAACAGGATGTGTAAGACTGCCACACTCAATGGGCTTGCATCCGAAAAGTGTTTGCGCGAGAAATGTATCGCATAGATTTGGGCAGACCATTTTTCCATCGCTCCCCCACTCAAGCGTGGAGGCTGTTTTCCGCAAAGCCAGCAGATTTTGCGATATAAAAAAGCTCCGGTGGGACTTGCTGGGCCTTTCGTACATGCCAGTCATCGTGTCAACGCCGTCATGTCTGTGTGTGGATCAGTTCTCATGGCTTCAGGCTGTCCGTGTGCAGCTTGAGGTCAAGTGCTCTGAATCGAAATAGCCTTCCCTAAGCAGCTAAACACTTTTCATCTTATGGGCAGGTAGAAGCAGAAGTATGGTTTGGGCAGAGAACATGGAAGATAATTGCTAACTCTTTCCGGTGTCCTTCTATCCGGAACATGTGCAGACAGCACCGTGCCGCCATGCAGTAAAAAAGAAGGCAAAAGATTCGATGCTAAAGACAAATCATGAAACAAGCGCTGCACGCTAGAGGATGACAAGCCCAAGTCAGAAAAGAGGAGCTGCAAATGCAAAGCCGATCATGAGGCATTAGTTTGCCTCTGCCACACGGTCGATGCACTCCTCGCCGGTGTGGAAGAGCTCATCCTGCCAGGGTCGAAGCACACCTTATGAGAGAATAGCCCACCTAGAGAGATTCATTGCATGAGCTTTGTAAGCACGTAAGTGACTCTCGCTTCTGGGCAGTGTAGTAGCACGCGAAAATGTGTCTGTCAAAAAGAGTGTCATGCCGCACTCCTCATCCTCCTCGCCCTCTTCGTCGTCCATGCGCTCTATCCATTCCTGCGCAAAGCTGAGAATGTATGGCTATCCAAGAGCTGGCCCAGTGTGAGGTGAAGCTTCTTCCGATCATCCACGCGGGTGACACGCCTGGCCTGCCAGTACAGTGAGAGTTCTGTTCCTCTCAAAGGATGAGTGGTTCCTACGTCTAAATCAGGTTGGTGAAACCATTCAGAGATCCAGGGCAGAGGCTCTATGGAGAACATTCAGCGTATGCATCTCATACTCAATTCTAGGTATGGATCTCGGAGGCCACTTTGAGCCCCTCCTCAAACAATTTCTCGAATTGCTGGCTGTAGACCAGATCTGAATGACATCTGCTGGAGTCTTGAGTCAGTCAAGCAAGCTCGCTGGAGCCGCCTGCCAGCATCAGCATGAAGGATGAACGCGAATCCACCGCATGCTTTTGGCCTGCGGGCCCTGGCTTGCTTGTCCAGACTTTGTGCCCTCGCGTCGCAACACAACTGCCGCGGTAGTTTGAGCTTCAATCCAAGCATCTGGGCTCTGCACATCCATGTCGAGCAAGTCGTGCCTGTCACCGAGAGTTGTAACAAGTCCTGATACGGCCAGGTGCTGTCATTGTTTGATTTACCTGTTACAAGTCATGACTTTTTCGTTCTGACAAAGTTGTTTCTCTTGTCGTTTTCCAACTTAGAAGGTGCCTTTGCACAGCACGCCAAGACCATCTTCTGACGCGGGCTTCTTGTGTAATGCCATTAGTCTCTGAGCAGTGGGATAGCATCCACGGATCCCGGACTCTCCTCAAGAACTATAAGCAAGGTGATTGTAGCTTGATTCTTGACCAAAATGGTCGAAATGTTTCTTGTCCCAAGAAGTGTTCCTTCGCCGTGGCTTCTGGACCCGTTAGCTCCACTGTACGAGAAGCACGAACATCCGCAATCTGCGTCCGGAATGCTTTCTACCCGCAGTGCTACTGCTTGGACTACCATAAACCTTTCGCCTCCCTTTCCAGGTTCTCTTGCGGTCCGTTTTGGCCTGGAATCTGATGCTTCTGATGGCGCGTAAGATGTTGCCATCAGGCCCCCCCCCGCGGAGAAATTCTGAAAGAAATTGAGGCAAGAATCAGAAACGTTGTGATAACTATGAGGAGAACGAAGGGCGAATGCAAGGATTCATAGGCAACATCTTTAGGATGCTGTCACACCTGCAAGCTGCAGGGGTGGGTACGGACTTGGATGCTAGCGGAGCGGGCCTGACAAGAAATTGATCTTGGACATACAGAAAATTGTCTTGGGTTAATTGCCCTATGCCCTAGGCTGGTGCTTGTGACCCTCCAACATCCGAAATAACTAAATCATGATTTGATTGCCCTCGAACCTCGCGCAGCACCCTCTCCAGCGCAATGTCATGCAATTCTTAGTCATGACTCCTTCATGCTCAAGAAAGTCCCAAGCTGTTCAGCAATTCAGACAAAAATCAAAAAGTGGAAGAGGCAAAAATTCGCTTCGGCCTGCCAGGAAAGTTTCTCAAAGGTGCCTAAGGGGAGTAACGAATGAAAACTGCTGAAAATAGGCAGTATTCGGAGGGCGTAGAGGCCCTCCTAGGATCTTACATCGTAGCATGTGTATGACTGTGAAAGACTTGCGCCTCTCTTGAGTCGCACCTCAGATTCCTAGTTGAACCGTGATTTAGTTGTCTGTAATTCAGTTGTGTATTGGCAACTCTGACAGCATCCTAGAGCCGCGGTGTGTATCAGCATGAAGGAAATGTGAAGGAATTGCATCCTTCTCTTCATTTTCACCTCAGATCCCCCTTTGACTGCGATTGAGCTGCTGGTGACGCCTTCATATTTGGGGTTTGCTGTTGGAATCATAGATACCTTGAGCTTTTTTCAATGTGATAGTGTTGCATCCGCCTCTCTGGTTGCGATTCGGACCCCCCATTAGATCACGGTTTGATCATGTGCTTTGAGCCTCTGGTAGCTTGAGTGCTGAACGGAATTGTTCTCTCTGGCTGCACCTCGGATCCCCATCAACAGCGGATTTGATTATGTTTGGGGCCTCCGGTTCCTGGAATTTTGAATCCCGCGATCATGAGCACACATCTGCTCTTGGCTTTGGTTTTGCGTTTTCGTCTCCGGGTTGTAGGGCTCACGTGCCGTCTGCGCACCGCAGGTACCCCACGTACAATGTCGAAGTGTCCCGAAGATTGTTCGAGAAAAGCATGTTCAATCCTCACTGTGTAGTACGGGAGATGGAGCAGATCGGGACTTCAATTGCCTCAGTGGCATTTTTTGCAACCCTCCAGCATCCCGCACTGAGCAGGTCAGGGCACTCACTGCCTCAGTGGCATGTTGACCAAAATATTCTAGGCCAGCATTACATCAAGATTCACAATTCAACAATTCTGCTTTTGGGATGCCTGAGACTGCTGAGCACATGCGCGCGTAGCACAAGGATCTGAAGTAATGTCAGTCAGAGAGACCCTCGAGCGGGAGGGTTGAAGACCGGCTCCTTGGCAATACAATTCGGTGAACAAATGCTCCTCTTCAAATGCACAACCAAGAAAGAAGCCATGCTTGATGGTGCGGGCTTCTCTGAAGCCCACTCTGCAGGGGCCTGACGATAACTCATCTTCGTAAGTAATTTTCCGGTTGGATGTGAAGGTGCTCCAAGGCCCGCCTCCTTCTCCCGCTTCACCTTGCCAAAACAGTGCAACTCTCGTACAATGCGTTGACTGCATTAACACTCTGCACATTGGGATCAGCAAGGGGGGATCTATTTGGAGACCCAGACAAAAGCAACCTCACAGTTCCGGAAACTCCACAAAACTCCCAAGCGCTGCCTGTGCGGCAACAGCAGCATCATCGTCCTCCAAAACAACAAAAGGCATCAGTTACAGCCTGTGGCACAACCCCTCTGTCTCGCTTGTGACAAGGGTTTAAAAACTCACTGAGTGAATAACACAGGAACAATAACAACCAAGGACCCCACAATTCCAAAATGTGATAAGAAGAATACGAACGCTCGCAATGAAGATCGGAAACGAAACAGAAATGAGCTGTGGCCTGAACCTTTTGAACCTTTTGTCATGTTTGTTGTGCTATTGCGCACGCCAGTCGCACTACTGACGCGCTCCAGGAATAGCTGATGCGGATGCATCTTTTTAAAAGTGTACTGCCGCAAACTATCTAGGCTTGATTTCAGGCTGTTAAACCTCAATTCACTGACGCGGCCACATGGGAACCCTTTTTTAGATGCAAAGCTAAGCAATCTGCTGTCGCAAAGACTATCGCCGTGGGAATGTTCAGTTTCACTGAGGCGAACTGTCGTGCACACCAAAAAAGCTGACGCGACCAATCATTACTTTCATGTTTATGTAAAATCCCAAATGGGGAGCTTCGGCCGCCGCTCAAATTGCACTACGCTGGGAAAATGAGCATTAGAGGCGGATTACGCGACGAGAGTCCCTCTTGAAACTTATGCATGTGGGTGATGTGCTGAATTTGTCACGTGGATGATGGTGGCAATACCTTGCACTCAAGCATAAAGCGGGCTAAGCCTTCTTGCATGTGCCAGCCTCATCCTCCAACAGGCCTTTTTGCTCCAGGCTCAGCTCAGAGGCCTTGGAGCAAGCTGCGCTGCCGAGACTGACTATTGGAAAGTATGGAGGGGGAAGAGGCTCCTCAGGAACCCAGGGAATGATGCACTATTTCAAGGGTGTTAACGGTGTTTAGCTTGATAAACGCTGTTCTCGCTGCTGCTACTCAATACTAGTCTTTCTTTCATGCATCTTTTACAGGTACTCTGCTGCAAACTCCCTTCAACACATCCTGGCCTTGATCAAGCCAGCCGTGTTGCGCTCATCCACGCCAGCTTTTGTCGTCTCCTGGCCAAACAGATTTGCTATGATTATCATCAGTATAAATGCTATCACGAACTCTGTCACCTGTATCCCGAACTCTACTTTTGAAGCTGACAGCAAGCTGGGGCCCCGGGCAACATCGATATCACCTGCTGGCTTCTTCTGCTTGCGTGCAAGCCCAGGCCTCAATTTTGTGTGATGGGCCAGGCCGTTTTAAAAGACCTCCATTCAAGTGGGTTTTAGGGTTTGCCACCTGCTGCTTCACAATATTCGGGTGAGGCCATAGCGCCATAAGTTGAACTGAAACATCCTGAACCTGCTGAAGCCCCCCCCACTCCCAAACATTCCCAAACCGAAAGCCATGAGAGGATCGTTTCAGGCTGCAGCCCCTCCAGCGTCTGCTTCAGATCCTCAGGGCTAGTGTTGCAGATAAAAAGGACTAACGCATTTCACCTCAGGATCATGCTGTATGAAAGGTGCATATCGAACCCTTTTGAAGGTCAAAGGTTTCCTCGAGTACCGGGGCAGCTTGGCAAAGCATCCAGGCCTGTGTGACAGACTGGCCCCAGGTCCAAATGTTGTCGGACAGGCTCTGCCAGTTATCCTGGCAATCCAAACTTTGACCACCGCAAAGACTGCACTATTCTAAGATTTATAGTGGACCTACATCATCCGGCATCTTGCCACATACCTTCTTCAGTCTGCTGCCGGCATGCCCTCAACATGTAATCTCGCACCAAGAACATTTCATTTGGGTACCCAAGTAAAGTGAAGTTAGAGTCAACCAGCATTTACGGTGCGGTCTGCCGCCGACGTACCTGTCAACTGACCCCCTTTTAAGTACCCTACCACACTTAGAACTGTCTCGTCGGAGATAGGACGTGAAGTCCCACATGCCAAGACAAACCTACGGTCCTCGGCCTTCTTGCCAAGCTCGGAAAGCGCTGGTGCCTGTGCAGAGGCTTTTTACCATCACCACAGTGCCTTTCTTAGCTGGCCAGCTATCCCCGGCTTAGACCTGAACGCAGTTGTTCTACAGTAGTTGCCCAGCATCCATTTAGAACTGCCTCCGGCATCACGGACTCGTGTAAATTCTGGCCCCACCTCGCGGCTCTGGCAACTTTTTAACGTGACCAGGGACAGCAAGCTGGGAGCCCTGCTGCCAAAGACTCGCACCTACCGAGTGCAGCTGTTCTTGTGCCTGGCGTATTCAAGAATCAAGCATGCCAAAACACCCAATCCTTCATCTCTTTATCTCCATGACTTTGAAGTGGAAACGGGTTCTGCTCCCAAAGCCTAAAACTTTTCTTGTACCGGTGCCTTGCCCGCCAGCTCGCTTGCTTTCACGCCGATGTCTTGGACCTTGCAGCAAACCTTTCCACATCTTTCTACACTGCTGCTCCGTGATAAGTACTGAAGTACTGACAACTCATTTTGAGGTAAGCAGCTCAGAAGAAAACAGAGCTCACTCCACGCGAACTCGCATGTAAGGACCCCACCTCCAGGCCAAGTGGCTGCTGGGCCTGCTCCTACAAAGGAGGGAGAGTTTCAAGGGGTCGTGTTCAACGAATTTCTGGAGAAGCTTTAGGTGGCAAAGGCCTGCGCTCGCTCAAAGAGCTTCTGCGTCCCGTCTTTGGCCGCCTCGAGTGCGGCAAAGGACTCTCGCCTCAAAGCAGGGGGGGGAGGAGATTGAAGCTGCCCGAAGCACACCACAATGGGCAAGCCTGATGTTTTGCAGCGTCTGATCAGCCTGCACAGAGACCTGACAATCAAGATACAAGATGGGGTTCATCTCGTCACGCTCGTGTAACACTGTCAGACACAAGCCTCATCAGCACTGATACTCCTGGAACACAACAGCAACGGTGCGGCTTCATACTTACCGCACTCCTAAGTTTCTACTGGAAATGTGCAGGACTGGAGCCCGTACTGAGCAAGACGCATTGTGTTAGCTTGCGGTTTTGTAGCAAACCAATGCTCCTGACTGCTTTCACGACGTTATCCACCTGGCTGGCTGCCCGCGCTGCCCGATCCACCTCGTGCACCCCATCTTCTTGCAAATTAATTGCAACGCAGAATAGCATAGTAGCAGCAGAATTCAAATTGCTGTCTTTGCAGCGCTACCAGGCACAGAGCGATGCGAACCGAGGTCGGTGCCCAGCCAGGAATCCGCCTCAAGCCAAGTTCGCCCAGCAGAGCCTCACACATCAGGTAGAGGGAATGATGCAAGGGCTTTCCAAAGCACGGGAAGCGTGGATCAGCAACAGCAACTGATCAACACGCCACATTAGCTGCTAAGTGAACAAATGACAGAAACGACAGCCGCTGAGGTTACTGCATTTTCCCTCACTTGAACTAACGTCACAGTTCTTGGGCGAGGGGCATTACAAAAGCTAAGGCAGTTGTGGTGGATCAGGTCGTAGGAGCTGCCCGGCCTTGAGAAAAGGACTGCCAAGGACAAAAACTCTTTCCAACGCTGTTTACCTACACCGTCAAGCTTGGTAGATACCTTGCCGCTCGAGGTAGATTCCTTTCACCTTGCACTGCTATTGACTGGGGTTCCGTCCATTGAGCTGCCATGCCTGCACAAGGCTTCAAGGCTCAGTACAGAGCGCAAACGGCAACGACAGTTGGGACTCAGCAGCTCTGGAAAGCCGGAACCTGCAAGCAGGTAGTTGACTTCTTGCGCTGTCTTTTTTGTCTGTCCTGGCATGAGGCGACAAAGACTGCAACGGCAACATGCAGCTGCATCCCGAGCCCCCATAGACTTCCCAATCCACTGCACAAAACGTGACGAAGACCAACAACAGGATCCAAACCCCAAGCGTGCAGGCATTGCCCATGTGCACGGTGGCACGGTACCTGGGACGACACATGCCCATAGAAAAGAAGCACGAAAACTGATTCCGATCGAAGTGCAAGCTTGAGGACTGGCAGCATACAACCTACCGGACTTGTGTCAGGTGGTTCATGGCAGCATTTGCTGTTTTTGCTGCCTTGTGATTTCTTCGAGGGTACAAAAACCTGTACGTTGCTTGCCGCATAGGCTCGTTTTGTTTGGGGCACGTGTGGTGCCTTGGCTCTATTTTCCAAATCCATGTCTGTGAGCAAGAGCAGTTTCTACCCAACAGATTTGTGGCCTGTGCTGTGGGTGAAGGCGCGGCTTCACCTTGGAGTAGTCTACAGTTCAGCGCTGACCACTGCCGAGGACAGAGTTCATAAGCTCCCCACTGCACCTACGCCAGTTCGCCCAGGCCTCGTATGCATGTATAATAGGCCTCAAATTTACAGGAATGGCTACTGTAGCCTTTTGATCATTGAGGTGCGGGCACCGTCGCACCATAACACCACTCTTTACCGTACACCTCCAGACTGGTGAGTCCAAGGCTTTGGTGAAACCACGTCAGAAAGTATGTCTGCTGCAGGGGCCTCAACGCCTGCATGGAAGACTCCTGTCCAGGATGCGGCACAGCAAGCACACAACTGTTGGGCATTTCAACCTAATACACCTGTTGGCCTTTGAAATGCATGTTGCTGAGAAACACCACTTGAGCGTCGACTTTTGCTTATTGCCTGGGCCTTATGCAGCATTGTCAATCCACGGCCCCTCATCATTTCGCTCGCCTTCTATCTGGTCTTGTACTGTATCTGAATATGTACTGGACTGTGATTGCGAAGGAAACTGCGGCCTATCTCGTGCAATCCACGGCCACTACCTAGTTCCCAGAGAAACACTTAACCCAAAGCAAGAATACCGGCGCCCCTGGTCTTCTACTCGCTTACGTAAATAAATGTGGTCTTCATTGTGTCTGAAAGTTTGCTTCCAAGATGCGCAAACTACCTACCAACTTCTAAGAAAACATTGCAGTGCCCGGGCTGCGGGATAGCCGGAACTCCTTTTGAGGATGATGTAAGGATGATTTTGAAACTCCCAAATCCATTGACCGTTAGGGTCGTTTGGATGATCCAAGGCAGGCGGAGTCCCGAAGCCTAGTGTGAACTCCTGTCTTGTGATTGTTGGGTGAACTCCCGATCCTCCAAACTGTAGGCGACACAACACTTTCTCCAAATATTTCCAAATTGTAAAGCAGCTAAGGCCAGAGGCTTGGCGAGGAGACCAGAGTCACCCTCCCCCTAGCCCCTTCCAGTGGCCACCATTGGCGGTTTAGGAGGTCCGAGGCTGGGGGCAAGGGTCGGGGCCGGGGGGAGGCTCTCCTCTACCCTTGCCGATTTGCTGCCTCGCATTCCGGCTCGTCTTGCCAAAAAAGCTTGACTGCCTGTGGGGTCAGCGGCCTGAGCCAAAGCCTCTGGAGTGATTTTATAATCGGCCTCCAGCTAGAACGTTGTCATCCACCGTGAGGATGCGATTCACCCTCTGGATCACATCACCTGAGAGCATCGCTGCCGGCCTCCTACTCCGCACAACTGAGGCTGTATGCCCTCCAAATACTAGGATCCTTGTCAAAGAATCCCCAAAAGAAGGATGCAGAAGGGACCCATGACTTTGGGCAACCCACATCCCTCCAGTGACTGGGCTCAGCGCTGTCGCTAACATCATACCTGCTGATTAGTAAGCCAAGTTGGACTTGTCACCCTCGAGTTCACTGCCAAAGAGATGCTCGAATTTAGCAATTCTTGTCCGGGGGATCTGCTAAACAAGGCTCTTCGTCTTGCAGGAGGGTAGGACGCATCTTGCATTGTCGATGTTTTAGACAGCCCCATGCATCTGCACTCCAAGCTTCTCTACACTCATGCATTGTCGAAATGCAGCCAGGAAATCTAAGCAAGGTCTGTAGAGCGCACACGTTCAGAAGAACCGTGTTCTCAAACATCTCCTCCTCCACCTGCGTTCCGCCTGAGGCTCTGAAGTCTAGCACGCAAAAGGGAAGTATTCTGCCGGATGCAGCGTAAGCACCACAAAGCAACACATTCCACATGGAAGATGCTAGGCCATTGTCAACAAGAGCGATAAGCCCCCCACCCACGCTTTCCAGCAAGCCACTGAGGCCACGCGAGGCCATGACAAGCTTTGGCGCGTCTGCCATGTTGGTGGCACGGCAAAGGCACAGGAGGTAAGTGGCAACATCATGGAGCAAGCGAGGAAACTGGACACGGATGGGCTACCGGAAGCCTTCGGCAGCTGTCAATGCAACCTCCAGCATTTGGAGCAAGCCTGGATCGTCGCATCGTCTTTGAGGCTGCGCCGGGCTCGGCGAACTTGAGCCACCTGCAGACTACGTACCGTGACACATAAAACTCTGCCATGCAGACTGCAAGCAGAGCGGACTTCAGCACTCAAGTAGGTCGTTTGGAAATACCAAGGGCATGCAGCTTAGAGCAAGTATGTTTGTGCAAACAGCCCAAAGTCAGTTCCAAAGATTATGGTACTGTGAGGCTAAGAAGATGATGACTTGAATGCCCAAAAGCGTCACAACTTCCAGCCCGAATCTAGAAACATGCAGGAGCCTGTAGTAGCAGATGGAGCACATCTGCTAGGTCTGGCGCTTGCGCCTTGTCTCCCAGAACAGCGAAACGGACTTGACCAGCGCAAGCAGTGCAAGCTGCAAGCCTCAAGTACCACATTCCTACGTCGTAGCTATGCAGGAGCGGCCTTCAATGCTGTCGCTGTCATCATCTAGAGGAACATCTTCCACCTGACAGCTCAATGTTAGAAACTGAGTCTGCAACCCAGCACAAGATTGTCTGCTCTGAGACTGTACCTCCTCAGGCTGCTTCACCGCGGCTCCCAGAGGCCTCAGCTTTCAGAACTCCACCGGAAAACCGGGTTAACCCATGGGTTAACCCATGCTCCTCAGGGCCAGGCTCCAACATAGGCGCAAACAAGAGAGCACTTCTCTCTGAAGCAGCTTTAAAATCTGATGAAGGCTTGCTGTTGCTTCACTAACGAGGCAGGTGAGAGATTTCACCACGAACCGTCTTGCTACATGCAAAGCCCGTCAAAGCCTGTACCTTGCTTTCATGATGTCTGTGCAATTGCGTACTTGTTCACGTGTGCCTATCCGATCTTCCTGGAACCTCTGGGGAAGAACGGGTCAGACGGCATGAACATCTCTCTCTCCAAGCGAATGAAACAAGGCACCTAGCTAAACATTTCAATTTTGCATGCTCACAAGCAACACTTCAAGAAGACAAAGCACGAGACAATGGCCTTCAGCTTGTCTTCAGACTCATCCACCTCTAGCATGAGGCTCATGCCTTAGCGTGCAGCCCTTTGACCTTTCCGCGAGGCACTGGTGCCCTGACAAGGTCCCTGCAGCACTCTAGCGTAAGGTTGATGAAGTCGGGGGCAGACTTGCTGAGGAACTTTGCCCTGAGCCAGGAGAAAACGCCAGGGCAATACTCACAGGCTGCATGCTCTTTACAGCCGCAGCTTCTGCGCTCCAGCCTCTTCTCTACAAAGCTCACGAGCCACTCAATGGCAAGCCCACGAAGACCAGAGTCAATCTGGGCAGCTAAAGCAGCGGCAGCGATGAGCAAGATCTTCATGCTATCTTTTAGAGGACTGGACAGACTAGCAACCTACCAATGCAAAAAATGCCAGGTTCTCTGTACGGAATGACGTGGCAAACTTGAACGCCTCCCTGGTCCTTGCGACTGTGGCCATGAACTTGGCGGGCTCCATCGTTTGCTGCAGCTGAGCCTCCCAGCAGAGTGGACAGTCGATTACACAAGACGTTGCATATGCTCAGACAGCCTTGAAGAAGTCGGGCTCCACAGTGGCCACATCTGTAAATGCCTGGTGGCATGCAGATCTCGGCCATCCGATCATTTGCCAAGAGGGTTGGTTTGTTCATGCAGGAGCGCACAAGAGGCACATGCAGCTCCCCAGTGTGGGCTGTAAAAGGTTCAAAGATACACCAGTTCCTGCTGACGACACCTCGCCGTCCACTGCCCAAACCACACAGCTTCCCAAGGCAGCCCCACGCTGGTGGTCGAATTACGGTTCCACGAACCGAACTCTGGACCGGCCAAGGCCAGAGATAAAAAAGTAATCCTTCTAAGCGCAGCGCAAGTGTTCAATAGCGAGCTGCAGACGCATCTGTTTCGACCGGTGGGCAGGAGTCAAGATGATACTGCAATGCCGAACTAGTCCACCTACTGGCTCCGTGCTGGTTCTCTTCTCCGTGTTGGTTACACTCATCAAGAACATTGTAACTAAGAACATTGTAGCGGAGGAACTTGTGGATTAAGCCATGTGCCTGGGGCAGATGGGCTTCATGGGATTCTCTACCGTCTACCCCACATAGCAAACCAACCATACCTACCCTTAACATCTCGTGGGCCTGGATGCACTCTTGCAGGAGCTCCTCCTCCTTGGCCTGTGCCAATGCCGTGAGCACCTGCCAGACTTCTTTTGCCAGTCACGAGACCACTTCTACTCACCTGTGTTTTTACGCGTGGTCGTGGGAATCTTTTTCGGGTAGTTCACAGAAATTGCCTACCATTGACACTCTCTTAACACAAACGGACGTACCAAGTAGCTGCGGTCCAGCCAAGCTGCAGCACGAAGGCTTTGCAAGCCCACTTGCTGGTCCGTTTCTACTTTCATTGCATGTGCTCGATAGCTCTGTCTTTGCAGATCTGCAGAGGGGCCATGGCCATGCAACACTACATCTGGAAGCAGGTCAGAACGACCGAAAGCTGGGATCCTCTGGGATCTAAAATTGGGAGCGATGATCACTCGAAAAACGATAGCCACTTGCCTGTGTCCCTGTTACACGGTAAGAATTCAACTGCCCAATCGTCCTAAGTTGCTCGGGACACACAGCTGCAGCACAATCATTGGCCCGATTCATCTTCGGAGAACCGGGCGCTTGAGAGTATTTGCATTATCTGCCGCGAGTTTCGCAGCACACGCAAATTCTGTAGAAGATTAGGCACCCCGCACCATGTCCCCCATAGGGTCATCTTCGTGACTGTAGAAAGACCTACCACGGGATGCAACCATCTGACCATGTCCATGTCAACAACACGCAAGCATGCCTGCCTCTTCTGTCCATAGCCCCCACCTTTCCCCTTGCCCTTGTCACTTCGCGTCCATCTGCCTTGCATATGCACAGAAAGCATTCTAAGTCAACGCAGGATCAGGCACGTGATGTCATGTGCCCCACAATTCACGAACAATTGAAGGTGGGAGCTTATAGCACTGAATACTCCTAGTCATCGTCACCATGGGGTGATAATGACCGCAGAATCCGCCTCGTTTCCCACCACCCTCTCCGGAGCTGTCAGCCTTGCCCTTGCCACGGCCCTTGTCAGCCTGCAACCCAGGCAAAAGCGAACAAATGGTCGGTCCCTCATCTAATTTCACATGCTCTGCTCACCTCGGAGGCATTTGGGCCCGGCCGAAGGACAGCTTTGCGCTCGCTGCCACGCAGCCAGTGGTTGACGTACTCGCGCTGCGGATCCTGAGCTCCAAAGATGAAAGCTGAGTCCAGGTGCAAAGAAGATCTCCGTAGAGAATTAGCTTAAGCAGAAGCATGATGAGTCATGGGTCATAATCCGATAACTGCTTCTTCGTGTTGAAGCGGTTGACTCGCTGACCGGTCAGACCAGCTGCAGCCACCTGAGCATCTGTAGGGTCCACATGGGCTGCTCAGCAGGAAAATATGAGGGCTTGAGATAACCGTATGACGCTCTTAGAGTGATGCAGCGTACCGGCGTTTCTATAGGGGTCCGTAGAAATCTTGTGTGACTTCATTGTCTGGGCAGCATCTTCATGTTTACAGTTCATACAAATCTTGACAAAAACTTGCAACTCGAAACCTGTTCTTGGGGATGCCAAAAGACCCAGTTCCCCCAGTTGGAGCAGGGATCATAATCCAGCAGATATTCCTCGAAGTGCGCGGCACCATAGCGCCAGTCTACGCCCAAATCAAAGATGAGGAAGCTGGCCTCAAACAACCAAATCAAGCACCTTTGTTTCTTGATTGAATAAAAAAGCGGCTGAGTAGATCCATATCCGCAGCCCAGCTGCAACATTCTGCCGTCCTCGATTGCTCATGAAGCCGGTGGCACTGAGCTCACGCATGTTCGCGTCGACAAGAGGATCTCCAGTTTTGCCCTCTTTCCACCTGAACTCCAACATCTTTACAGGGAACCAGCGGGACTTGCGTGCGCTGTACACTGAAACTCATGTCAGCGTGCCTCTCCAGCTTGTCAGGTGAACCCCTCCAAGGAGTCCTCACGGAATGGGGCACTCCGCACACATCTGTGCTCTCTGAATCGATGAACCCGATTTTGGCTGCCTGTCCCCGGTGATGCCACCAGGAATGAAAATCTTGTCTCCTGGCTTCAGTGCTGGAGGCTCAAGAAAACAACTTGCACGTTGAAAACACGCAAAGGGATCAGCCTACTGTGGCCCGCTCCCTGACTCAAGGCCATGTAGATGAAGAAATCTCGCCAAGTCAGCTCGAAAATTAGCCTCAGAGGCGCCCACAAACTCACATGTACCACACAATCACACGCGGAAAGTGTCACAGACATCTGCACTTGCAAGCTGCCCAGGCACCAATATGTTGACTTATTCTTGATGCGGCGTTCGGTCTCGTATCGCTGTGCCTCACAGTTGCAAAAAGATGAAGATGGCTCCAGACATCAAACATCGTCAAACTGATCAAGACTTTGTACTCAGAAGGGGCCCTGAATGCCTCTGACCAGATCCGTCGGGGGGAGATGCATCCCAAAGCCAGCCATGGGCTGAGTTTGGAGGAGTATCCCTCACCAAGCATCCCGTTCCTGCGCAGGGCTTTTACATGTGACCCGATACTGGCACATCTCTACTGAACGAGAGGCATTAGAAAAGAAGACATGCAGGCTGCCTTACCCAGCTCTCAAACAAGAATAAGAAACCTTCATATGCTAACCTGGAGAGGGCCTCCAAACAGTTCCCCCAAATGCTCTCTGTTCTGGCTGTATTAGTTTGAGTTGAGACAACAGCTCGAAGCTCTGAGACCTGCCTGATGTCGAAATAGTCTTTGAGGTGATCGTCATCAAACATCCATTTCTGCAGTCGAGCCAAAGCCTCAGCCGGTGGACTATGAGAGCACACATCCTCGCTGCAACAACGTGATCCTCTTTCAACGTGTGTTTGGACTGCTACAATTCTGCCAGCTGTAAATTGGCAGTACAAGCAAGACACTGCATTTTCACCACCACGAAATGGTAAAACGCCTGGAATGCATGCATGGGTACATTGTGGCAAGACTGACAAGCAAAACCAAGCCTCGTGGATCGTCTTGCATTGCCTCTGCAACCTCACTGTCCTCATATCCCAGCTGCTGCAGCGTCGGCAGGAAACCTGTCAAAACATCCCACACACTCAATCGGCTTGCAATGATGTGGATCTTGCATGCCTAAGGCGGTCTCGAGCTCATTCTGCTCGGTCTTCGCCGGGAGTGGGGGCAGACGCTTGGGTGCTGGAACAGGTGTCCGGATCTGGCCACGGCCCTCAGCCTTGCATACGGTAGCACAGCAGTGGCATGCTTTTAACACAGACCCCGCTTGTGCCAGGCCTTGTTCTTGAAGGATGTGAACAGTAGCGGAGTGCTGCGAGGGTTCTGCCCACATTCCTCGGTGAGTGCAACTATCACAACTCTCCTCACACTGTTGCTCCGGGACAGCGCTGGTTCCTACATGGCAGCTAAGACAGCGTCCTCTGGCATGTAGAGTGTGCCACCCCAGACAGCGGCGAGTTCAGCGCCCGTTGCTTTGAGCCGCTTCGCCACCAACACCTCTTCTCGCTGCTCCTCGCTGCAGTAGCCCTGGCCAGGTTCGAAAACATTATGATCGCAAAAAGATGCAAAAAGCAAGCTGAAGAGTATCCACCCCCAGCAGCCCGTGCACCCCCGAAGCCTGCGTGACAGCCACAGCGCTGCAGCCTTCGCAGAGCTTTGGGATAACCTTTCAGAGGACTATCAAGATGTAGGACTTAATTAGCACTCTTGCAGTGAAAGTCTCTCGCCTCCTGAGGAGGCCCAAGCGCTACTGCCAAACCCGAGCCGATGCTCTCCAGCCGCCGGCGCAAGCACTCGACGCTTTCAAGCAGAAAACGCGCTCGTCTGGCATTGCACTTTCGGGCACCTTGAGCATTGCACAGGGAAGCCATCCGCAACACAGTCACGCTTCATGCGCGGCGCCTGCTAACGTCGGAACATTGAAGCGAGAAGGGTCAAAGACAAAGACAGGTAAGAGGGACTCCGCACCATCCACCGCAGCCTCAAGAAGAAATGAACGCACGCTACCAGGCCATACTCGAAGATTAACATGGCCTTCAGGGCCAAGTTGTCATCCAGGCGAAGGTCATTCCTGCTGTGTCTGCCATGATACATGACCGCCATTGTTGAGCAATCCTCCAAGGCCGGAGGCCTGGGGTGTTTAGATCCGGGTGCTGAGACTAGGAGAGTAAGCTAACCCTCCCTTACCGCCTCCCAGCAGGTCGCGATTCGGAGGGTCATTGGCGTTGATTGGCGTTGTTTCGAGGGGGCACGGGAGGGTTCGGCCGGCCGTCGGGTTCCGCACCGGGCTGGTGTGAGTCTCGGCCATAGGACCCCCCGTAATCCAAGGATAAAAACGCATCGTTGTGCAGCTCGGGACCAAAGGGGGACTGTAAGGGACACGGAGCATGAAGGAATATCAAGGAAATGAAACATGATTCAAGTGTGTGCTATTGCAACGGAAGCTTGCAGCACATGACCGCGGCGTTTTTGACGTTGTCTGCGATCGTGCGGCACGAATTTTCGTCAGAAGCACAGTAAGACTTTTCAGCTTTTGGGGGGGGTGGAAGGGGATTGGCCGGCATCGCTGCTCTCCGCAGCTCTCCTCTGCCCTTGCCGAGGCGGTCCCGCGTTAACAGTTCAATTACTGCAGCCGCTCAAAGCATGTTAGATAGCAATCAACTCAAAACGCAATCGCCCCTTGCCTGAGCCACAATGCGCGGGCACTTCGGCCCACCGCACGGGCAGACATCAGGGAGACTAGAATCACCCCCAGTGGCAGCAAAGAATTTCTGAGCCAAAGCGCTCTATGAGATGCGCTCAACTCACGGTCATCACGCACGTGATGTGCAGCACCATTAAAAGCAAGGATCGGGCCTGCACAAGCACGCTCACGGTGGAAAGAAGCGGAGCCCATGCTGGCCAGAGCGAGAAGCTCAAATGGCACCAAAGCACATTGTCCCACAGGTACAGCAGATATCAGCAAATGCTGGCCTTTCTTCTCCGTCTCGGTAACTATTTCACAGACCAAAAGGAAAGTCGCCACTTTGTGCTTCACCTTTTTATTCAACCACATGGTCAATCCGTCGCTCTCTAAACTACGCGCAATTCCACTCGCCTGGGGCGAAGCCAAACCATTCTGAATGATCTGGCCCAGCCTTGGCTACTGGCTCGATGGTGCAAATGGAATTCATGTCCGATGCTGATAGGTAAAGGGAACTCTTCCTCTTTTCGGGTCCACCTTCCCAAAGGTCCAAACTCTTGCTTTGCTGCGACGATCTGGTCTTTCAACGTGGGCACGCAGTCCTGAACTCAGGTGTGTCTACAGAAGGTCATCCACACAAGTCGGCTTCGATATCCCCACCTTCAGTAAACGAAGAGCTGACTCACAGCTCTCCACGGAGAGGGCTGTGCTAGTGTTGGCCTTAAGCTTCTTCAGGTACCGCATACAAGCAAACAACATCATCCGAGGGGCCATTCTAAAGACCTGTGGCAGCAAAGCAGGCCTCGGCTCAGATCATGCTGGAACTGAGATGCGGCTTTAAATAGGAAGTTTGCAGCACGCAAGGTTTTTTGCAATGATTTTAGCTAAGACTGCTGCCATCCCGACGGAGCACCCAAGCTTGCTCTCGGATCGTCCTGCACGAAGCATGACCCTGAGACAGCTTCCACGCATTACAATCGCCTGGTCCCAGACTCTACACATGGATGTCCCTGCTTTCTTACAGGACATGTTAGACTCAAACGTCAAGGTTTCCACTGCGGAGCATCACTTTGGTCCCCGAACGGAAAAGGAGAACAGAGCACACAGCCTCCCTCGCATGAGAAAAGCTTGCATAAGAGAAGTGCTACGCATGAGTGCGCTGTGAAGAGTCCGTGTCGCAAACGTAGTCTGCAAGCTTGGAGATGACCTTCAAACAGGTCCAGGGTAGTTAATGAAAACCTTGTGATTAAAGTGGAAGCAAACCCAGCATTTGATGAATTGACATGCCCACCTCGCCAATCTTTTTCTGAATCGAAGGTGTTTTCTGGCAAAGCAAACGGCATGGCAAGGGACACTTCTCAACTTTTGCGGCTTCCATCAGCACTATGTGCAGTGTCAAAACTACAAAGTGCCCCAACAAGCTTGATAACGCAAAAAAAGGCAGCCACATAACTTGCATCACATGTCCGAACAAAAGGCCTCCTGCTCGTATTGCCGCAGCAGCTCTGTAGCAACCTGAACATTGCACAAAGTTGTGATGAGCCAACTGCTTGGCTAACACCTGCCTCCCGCTTGTGCGCATCACTTATCCTTGCACACCAATGAAATTACATGAAATTACTCTCTACAGCACCACACCTTAATTGAACAGCCATGCAATTTGTGCATTCGCTGATTGTCGCTGCTTTCTGTGACGACCGTCCTTGCGTACACGAAATCCTTCTCGGCTCCCCTTGTCACCAGCTGGCGCAAGAGGACACAGTCATGCCTCAAGGTGTGCTGCTGTTGTTTTGCGCGGAACGGTTTGACACAATGCAAGCTGGCCTCCGAACGCCCTCGGGCACGTCTGCGCTTCCCAAGACCGCCCTGGCTACATCGGAAAAGCTTTTCACCTTGCAAACATTACCGGTAAGCAGGCGCGCATCATCCCGATGATGAGGTTGTCTGGCTCCGCCTGCTTTGCCTGCTGGTACCTGAAATTCAACATCAGGCCACGCCCCAACAGGGAACTACCTGATGAATCCAACAAATCGTGTGGCGCACATGGTTTCTGCTTGCTGCCGCACCGCATTTTCTGAAGTCTGCAGACCCTGAGAGTGGGAAGGATGCAAAGAGATGCAAAAGCTACTCAACAGTTGAAACTGAACACTAGAGAGTGTTGATTGGCTTAATGGTGCCTACCTTGCCGCGCCTGCCCCCCAGACTCTGGCATCCTCAGGCTCGCCCCTCTCGCCCACTTGCCCCTATTACCCCTCGCCCTTCGCCCCACCTCGCCCTGCTAGAGCACACTCACCATCAGACCCCCACAACCTCCCGACAGGCCAGTTGCATGCCCCAAACTGCTCTCGGACCTCTCGCCCCACCAACTCTTGGCCCACATGCCAATAGCTGGTTTAGGCTATGATAGAAGTTCATGAAAAATCTAGTATTCATGTACTGTGAGTAGGCGAATGATGCGAGTGGAGGGAATGCGGCGGCTGGGTGGGGCAAGTGGGCCGAGCGGGTCGAGTAGGGCGAGTGGGGCAGTTGCCGTTAACTTTCACCCCTGCAGTTCAGTGGAACACGTAATGCATTGCGAATATGCAGCTCGAAAAGGCCTTCAGCAATTCAACAAATCTGGATTTGTCGATGCCCGCCATGACCTGGAAGGAAAAACGTGCGCATCATCCGAAATGTCTGCGTGCACGAATTGGAAGCCTCGGTGCTGCAGTGGGTGACTGTCCGCTGCCAAAATTGCACCAAACTGCAGCACCCTCTGACAGTTTGAGCCTCACTGAGCGTTGGGATCATTCACGTCCAAGTTGGAACACTAGTCAATCGGAGTTTGCAAGTACAACAGAGACTGACGCGTCAACATGACCAACTGCGCTCGAAAAAACCAGTACGCCTGCTGACCACTTCAAGCTGCCGAGTCATGCTTGAGAACTTTGTTGTTGATGATGCTGCAATTGACATACACATCAAGTTCTTCACACACACTGAAACTACAGCACTGTATCCCAACAATACTGCACCACAACAGAACGATTACGCAAAGTACGAATTACTACTATGACGCAGCATACAGAGAACGCAACTTGCAATGATTGTTTGGGGGTGCCTCTGCAGAACTTTGGCTTCGGGAACAAGCAAACCTGAATCACAGACTTGAGTGTACGTCTTTACATCGTCGGCATTGGTGTCAAGCCCCTCTCCAAAAAACAATTTGTGCATTACCAATCCGAAATGTGGGAGTTGGACCGTTGGAGCATGATGATGTTGCAGTCTCAAATCTTAAATGCGGTGTCAGCGCAACTAAAAATGCAGACAGCAAACCACATTTTTTGCAGGATCTCAGGAGCTGATGTTTCAAGTCCCCATCGTGCAAAATACTGGGCATTTGTGCCTACGTAAATCTTTCGCATTCGATGCAAAGCGTTCTGCATAATGGGGGATACCAAAAACAGCACAAACTCTTTTCATTGGCTTTACAAATATGCTCCCTGATTGCCGCAAAACATGGTTTTTCCCAACACGTACTTCTATGCTCGAAACCAAAGTTAGACTCAGGGCCGAAGTGCGGGTGATTGTGTTCCTTGCAGCCTGGAATGGGCCAAGGGCCAAACTCCAAACTTAATGCCCTGTTCGACTGCAACTGGAATGTACGAAATAAAAAGTTTCCCAAATCTCTTTCTCTGGAATGAGACAGGGGACTAAGGGAAGGCCCCAAAATTCCAAAAAGTGATAAGATTCTGGGCTCGACCGGATGCAAGTGAGTGCAGCGTAGGCAGTTTCGTAGGAAAGCCGGCGCGGGCTGCCATGGATGCGGTGGCTTGCTGAAATTTGAAAATGGAATGTATTCGATTCGAAATTTTCCAAAACAAGATTTCAGGACTTTAACGCGGGAATCAAGGACTTTAAGGCCGAATCATTGCAACAACTAGCCCGATCCGTCATACGCCGTGCCGCCGACCCGGCTGTGTATCCTCCAGGCTCAAAAGACGTGTCCACGAACAGCGGCGGGAACCTTCCCTCGGCTTCCCCTCGCCTCGCGCGCTGGTCAACGCCCGAACCTAGCCGTGCCTTCGAGTAGCTGTTTTCAGGGTTACGGTCCAATGGGTTTTGGGATAACTCCAAAACTCAATCCAATATCTTTCCCTTATTCGAATGTTATTCGAATCCTTCATTCAAATAAACTCCGCAAAATATTCAGTCTGAAACGAATCCATACATATATGTAGACATCAAATGCAGGCAGAAACTCAAATCACGGACGAAGCCCTTTCTTTTTCTCAGTATGGTGGTAAGCGTCTCAAAGCGCCGAAATTCAAACCCGTGTGGTTGCGTCATTCCACACCCGTCTCACCTCGCGTGAGCGCTACCACATTGACTTCTCATGAGGCCTCTTGCGGCCACCTGAATCTATATAACTGAGTGGTAGACTTTATCTGAAGCCGCATGGCATCAAACTGACTTTTAGTTTCCCAGAGTTTGTTTAACAAGCTGAGGGGGAGTTCACAACCCTTGCACTGAATCCTCTTCTCAGCACTGAAGTTCTGGAATCTCTGATTTGTTAAGTCATCCGCATCTTGGTTCTCCTCCCGTGGCCGCCACCTAAGGTCAAGTTTAAGCATGGCCCCCATCAAGTGATGTGACAACTGAATGCTGACCAGCATTAGCGGCCACTTAGTTGTGCTCTGCTTATGCGCTAAGGCCTCATTCCCACGATTGTCCGTGACTGTTGGGAAAACGACCGGAAACTGTCTTATCCATGCTGCTGGCTCCAACTGACCAAAGAGATGCAACGCCGCCAGCGTCGCCAACAGCTCCGCTGAAGCCGGAGCCCATTGCAAGCGGCGCTCCCCATCGAAGGATAAGGTGCGTCCCCCGGCTTTAGTGTGATGGAAAACCAACGGGCCTTACCTCGGGATAGGTGTTCCCAACCTCCTCCATCTCTGCGAACCAAGTAAATTAAGGTCAAGATAACTGTCTCTAGCAGGCGCCCGACCCAGCGTCTGCGGGTCGCAGCCGACGAGGCACACAAGGGGGCCGCGGCCAAGCGGGGCTTGAGCCAGTAGAGTAATCTAGAGACGAACCCCAAACTGACTAGAAACTCTGACAACTTACGCGTGGCAACGACGAACCGGGACCGCGTGCCTCCTGTATCCACGCGACTATCCAGGCGCCTCTGGCAGCCGACATGCCAACTAGGAGTGACCCATAATCTCACCCAAGACCTATGAAGGCAACCCTATAAGTCCCCCTGAATAGCCACAGGAGTGCATTGTGACGCTTACGCGGTCCATAGAAGTCGGCATGAAGGTCGTCGACAAAGACCAACTGGAACAACAAATGGTTGAGCAGTGCCCTGCCCACCATCCGTCCAATGATCCAATGGAGTCGGCTCCACCACAGGGATGCAGATGATATTCCAACTCACATGGTTGATGAACACAGTAAGGCTATCGCTATCCGCTCTACAGGCCAGCAGCAGAAAGGGTGGCCTCCTCTGCTCAGGCGCCTGCCTCACCAGCCATGCAACCTCGGACCTCGGCCGGTCCCACGACAGCCAACAAGTTGTTCTGTTTGATCTCCTGGTTGACATGCACTCCGGCGCGCCGGACGCTCCGCTCCCGTCGGGCTTGCGTATCGCCCCCATAGAGGCTATCCTGACGCGATCCTCGGGGTACTCCTGCTTGAGCGCCCCCCAGTGTGGTCGAAATGAAGCCATGCGCCCCAAGGCCTCCGGTCCTGAACTTCTCAGCAGTTGTTGTAATTGGGTCTATCCCACTCGGGGAGGTCGTCATTTAGCTTACGTTCCTTAGTTTTGAGACCATAGACTTGCGGAAGGTGGGGCACCTCTTCGCGGTACAGGCACTCCAGCGCAGTAGTGGTCGTTGCCCTCCCTAAGAATCTACCAATCTGGATCGCCCTTGGCTGCAGCCGTCTTTACCTACGCAGGGCGCAAACGACTGACTTTGTAATGCCTACCAAGAACTTGCAGAGTTGCGGAGGGTAGCTTGCACTGGGCGCTGTTCCCCCAGCCTCCGGCGGCTGAATCGTTGCCAATAAGACCTTGACGCGAGGCCTTGGGCAAGGGGCCGGTGGAAGTCCAGGCGTGGCAGCTGGGCATATTTGAGAGCTTGCTGGATGGGGCTCCGTATTCACACTGAAACAGGCCAAAGGTTGCGGCGTGAAACCTGGCCAGCAGATCAAGCAGCTCTGTGAGTTCCCAGCCGGAAGCGGGAATAACACTGCGGCAACATCTAGGTTTTCTGGATGCTCTCACAAGAAGAAAGTATTGGCTTCGGCTGCAGTGATGGAGGCTCGCAATCAATCATGAAATTTGCATCTTCCACAGCCGCCGCCTTGAGCGGAGACAGCCATGCGAAACCACGGGGCCACACAGAGCTTCGGACCCGCTGCCGCCCCCCGGCCTCCGACGTCTAGCCTAGCCCGGCTGTGCATATTGCAGGGAGGGCTAGTGACGAAGGCTGTGTTGGGCTTGGCCACCAATGCATAGATCTCATCCCAGACACTTGCTTCTGCGAGATCTTTCTTGTCATCACGACATATATCGAATTCCAAAACACGGATTGCTGGTATGAGTTTCTCAAGACAGTAGCGTATGTCACAGTATCTGGAGGGCGAGCTTGGGCCGATTCTGAATTTGTCAACCCCCCTTTTGGGAGGCCGCCACCGCCGCGTCATGTTGATACGCGGGGTGCTCTCTGAAGCACCAGACCACGCTGCAGCAATGAACCCTGGCACAGCCCTTGTCCTTGCATGCCTATGCCTATGCGTTGTAGGCGTAGCATATCTGCTTGCCATCTGGCGTCATGGAGGCTAGCCTGCGGCTGCCAAACTGCTTGCCCTTGCCGCGGCCCTTAAGCACAGTAATCTTGCGGGGCCTTGGTGGTGGCGGAACGGCGGAACCCCGCCCTTCAGCGGCGCAACCCCGCCCTTCAACTTGCCATTGCCCTTGCGGCACTTA